TGTTTGTTTGTGTTATCGTCTAAATAAATGCTTTCACACATACATGCTGGTCTATTTAATGTTCATCAGCTGTTTATATGGTCATTTCCTTATTCCTCTAATTATTAATCAGAGTTCCAAATTGATAGTTTAGAGCATTTTATGAGACTGATTTAAAGATTGATTGACTCGCTCTAACTATTCTCCTTCAGCTGAAGGTCGTGACATTATTTTTTAATTAGACTGATTTGTGGATGTAATAAACTGGTTCCAGCTACAATAGTCAAGGAAAGAAAAGGTGTGATTAAAAATGTAAAAGTCTGATTAATAGCGTTAGAAAGTCACATTCAACAACCAAAACTACAGGAGGACTTCCGGTCACTTCCACCTCTGACATAAGAGATGAAGAAAGTGTTATGAAGTGACTGATAAACAAAAATCTGAATAGAAAAGGAGTCAATCGAACAAACAAATGACTTCACTGATATCTTGTGACTTGATCAAGACACGCAACAGGAAAGTCACATCACCAAAATCACTTTCACAGAACCTCAAACTAATAATCTGCCTGAATGTGACATTCAGCCATCATCATTCACACACACACACACACACACACACACACACACACACACACACACACACACACACACACACACACACACACTGTCAAACACCACTTCTCACCTTTTAAACCTCCTCTAATGAAAGCGCACACAAAGGCTGGAAAAGTTAAAGTAAATAAAGATAATTAATTTCCTAATGTGACATGCGAATATTCCTCCATCAGAATAGCTTTCACCTTTGACAAATTACCGTCGTAATTGTGTTGATTTTTTTCCAGGTGAACACACACATCTCCATTTGCAAAATTAAATTGGTCAAAAGTAATCAAATTATGCTGCAGGTGAGTGCGGGCGCTCGTTTGCTGCCGTGGCGACCGGGCGCGTTAATGTGATTGTTTTGTCAGGTGAGTTGACGCATCATTAACCCCCCGACGCACACGCGCACGCACAGCCTCCTCGCAGAGTAATGGGGTCATTAGCAGGAGACGAGACTCCCCGGGAACGCACATCGGCGCCGGTCCGACGTGGGAAACCGGGCCTGCAGCTGGAGAACATCTGCGGCAGGAGGAGCCAAACCCGGCGACGGACCTCGCCGCCAAAGTCCTCGTATACGACATCAAAGCCCGACTTCTGAGTTTGCCCCGAATGAAGGCCGCCCGCTCCGGATAGCGGTAAACAGAAAGAGCAGCGGCTGCTCCGCGAAGCCAAAGGCAAATCAAAGTCAGTCAAACAGCAACACATTGATATTCAAATATTAATGGATCTGCGAGGCGCCGATTCCAGGTTCTGAAAAAGACCAGCAAACATGACACACAACTACGACGGGCATTGATGTGCGTATGTAAAATTCAGGTTTGATCCCGACTAACTAGGGTGCCTTTCATTAATAGAACATGCCAGCCTTTTCTTTACGCTTGTTTAACGAATGTAGGACCAGAAAGTATCTCCAAATTACCTGAATTTAAATATATTTCACATCCTCCAAAGTCAAGGCTTTGTAGACGTGGAAAGAAGAAAAAAAAAAAGCTGCAATTTGTGTCGACATGATGAAGTCATCCGGGTCCTGACCTTGTCTTGACTTTCCTTTGCTGTAAAATGCATCTGATCCAATTTATAAAGTCGGTGAGACCTGGAGACGTCTCGCTGTGCATGTTTAAAATCCTTCTGTCGATCACTTTAATGGCAGGAGCAGCGCAAAAGGAAAGAACAGCGGGGTGAGGACACTCGATGGGACTGAATCCTCAAACACACCAGCTTCCTGTGTGTGAATGCCACCGAGTGTCTGACTACAAGTCTGATGAAGGAGTTCTGGGTGTCGGGAGAGTCCGTCCCAGCGGGGAGGACGGTTTCCAACACACACAGGATCAAAGTATCGAGGATCCATTCCGGGTCAACGGAGCTGAGTTTCCCATCCTCGGCCTCCTCTTCCTGTCAAGCAGCTCTCCAGTCGGACGCCCGGAGGGAGGAGGAGGGTGTGTGAGGAGGTCAGGAAGGAGAAGGACGACACAGCTACAGCGATGCCTTCACTGGCCGTCTGGTGCTCGGCTCATAAAAACCGCATGCTGGGAAACGCGCCTGTATGCCAACAAGCTGGCAGTTAAAGCAGCTCGATACAGATTTAATCTTTGCGTACAGAGCGAGGTCTTTAGTCGAGCTTAAAAAAAATCATTTCCAACAACTCCTGCGAGGCCCCAAAACACACAGGGATCAGTCGGGTTTGTCCAATAAAAGAAATGTGTAAATGTGCCAGATATGCTGCTGACAGTCTGACTCACCGGACGCAGGACGCAGGTTTAATCCCCGATCTTAACCCCTTCAACACTAAGTAACTTTAGACAGAAATTCATGATCAGATATGGTTTGGATTAATCACTCAGAAATTCTAAAGTAGACCTCACATCACTAAATATCTGGTGTCAACCAAAAGTAGACGAGTTGACGGTTGAACATATCTGGAAGTTTACTCTTGTCATATACATACAGGTGAAACACAGGCGTGGAAAGGAAGAGGTATAAATGTCGTTGACGTCGACTGGGGGCGAACGGTTAGCGGTGAATACACTAGCGAATAGCAGCGTTAGCAGCATAGACGACGGTAGTGAAACTCCATCGGCGCTTGTTGTTAAATGTTTTCCCGTTATGTTCCCACGTATCGGCCCAATTTGCAGCAGAAATTTTTTCAGGCAGCAGCGTAACAGGTCGTTACTCTGTTATGACGCTGGAGAGAACGCTGCGTACGATTATTATTATTATTATTACTATTTGCACAATTTATGTCATGATTGAATCTCTTGTTCACCTACAGGGATTCCCTGTGATAGAAAATCTAAATGAATGTAACAGAAAGTCGTCATGTACCGGAGCCACTATACCGGGCTGCAGGGTGGACGGGGTGAAAGCTGCAGACCGGTATACCGGGCTGTGGTGTTGAAAGGGTTAATAAGCGAGTTTCTCTTGTCCTACTGCTATCTACGTGTTATCGTTTTCAAAATCCACTTCTGGTACAGGAGACTTTGACTCAAACATTTCCACCAACACAGTCCCTCCATCGTTAGTTTAAGGGATAAAGCGACCGTTTGGGTCCACTTAGAGGTAAGGCTCACCGCTAGTCAATACAGAGTGGTTCTGAGTGACTTTGGTTCTGAGTGGTTCTGAGTGACCACCTTTACCCTTTGGTGAGACTTTTTTGTGCTGATGAGTGGTCTCTTCCATCCAGAGGGGTCATGAGTCATATGACAGATCTCTCCATCATCAAACATCAAAGGAGGGAAACTCTTCTGGAACAACGGCGTTAATCCTTCCAGTAGAGTTCCAGAAACTTGGACCACCAACACCAAGGCAGCACATGGTGGCACCACACCGAGCTGAGACACTTATTGTTCATTTTCCACCCGTCCATCGGTAGATGTGTAGCTACACTATCACTTGCATTTACACTAGAAGATGCTTCAATAGCAGATATTTGCCCCCAAACTAATTAACCTCTCACAATATGCAGCGTTTTTAGTAAATGAACTGTTGTGGAGTTGTTCAACAAACCACTACGTCTGATAAACTACTGGCAGCGTTATCAAGGTTAATGTACCAGACTGATACTCACGCTGACCTTCACCGTGAGCAGCTTATAAAGCCTCCGCAGATATAAATGCTTTCTTTGTTCGCGGTGCAATTAGAGACGTCTTTCATCTCCTATTAGAATTTATTTTTCATAGTGGTATCTTTTTTTAATGCAAACGACTGAAATCAATTCCCCGTCCGTGGATAATAAAGTCGATTCTTCCTTTTGCCCGTAGGACGACGGCCAAAGTGAGAATGATGCAGCAGAAGCCTGAAGATGCTGCGTCAACGTGGAACGAGAGCGCAGAGCCGGCAGAGCTGGTGCTGTGCATTGTTCTATCTTCGTCTTCTCCCACACTCTTCCTCCTTCACCCACGACGTTAGAGCAGGAGGACGATAAGTGTCAAAGGAATCCATTAAACCTCAATCATATCCTAAGCAGAGGAAAATAAAGTTATTACAATCTGAAAGCGCACACGCAGGGTTTTTATACGATAAGTGGGCAGAGCTCATCACCAGAATCACACCGGATTGTAAAAATATATGTCCTCATGATGAGAGAACAAAACGGTTTTCAAGACGGGGTTTTTGTAGCACAACAAGGTAAATGAACAGATAGAGCAGGAACTCTAAATGAGATACTGAACTAATTAACAGTGTGGTGTTTAGGTCTGAAGCAGGAAGTGGTGCATCGTAAACCCTTTTAAGATATCGGAGGACATATAACACTGCTGCTCCATCGACTTTATAAAGTGACGGCTTTCTGACATGTAAACATGCTAGTCAAGTTCCTCACAGCTACTGGAGATGTTTGTCTTTCACATGATATGAGACGGCATGCCGAGTACATAAATCTACATCTATAATAATATAATACATAACGAGGCACTAATAGTCTGTTTGAATAGCTAACAGCTCAGTTTATTAATGATTTCCAGATGTGATGATCATCGAACTACTACTTTACGACCACCCGACAGCTGTGATGGAGCTCCAACCTGAGGACCATCGCTGCATAACTCATAGTTTACCAGCAGCTGTGAGTCTGTTGTTAGATTCTGATCCATCCTGTCTCCATGTCGGGGATCATTCATAATTATAAGCAATTAAGAAAGTTACGACTGTAAATGTGCAGTTCTGTCGCTCACATGGATCCGATGCTGCAGGTGTTTGATGAACTCAGAGGAAAGACTCCTACAAGCAGCTGGAAGTCCGTCACTTCTGTCTCTATGTGTGAATGTGATGCAGTTTGGGATGATAAGGAAATGCTACGAGGTCCGACTTAGCCTCTTGCAGACATGCACGCGTTCATGAACACAGCGACTTTATGTCTTACTCATATTTTCCTAAAAGTTGCAACGGCAGTCCTGCCCACGTCAACATGACTCGAGCTGAAGCACAAACATGAACTTTCCTCTACAAATTCACATCTATTACAAACTAACACTGTCCATGAAACTAAGGCCCTGTTTACACGTCGGTGATGTCAACGGGTCTTTGGTTCACACGTAAACGAAGCTACAAGTCACCAAAAACGATCACATCTGAAACCTCCGTCTTTACGTTTGCGTGTCGACGGGAGGAGACGGATTTTGATGTCACAGGCTGCGACAAAAGCGTCATCAGGTCACATGTGTGCGACCATGTTTACAGACTCTTCCAGGATTCTGATTGGCTAGCGTGGCTGTATGCTTCTCGTCACACTGCCCCCTATAGGTCTGGCAGCTCATAGCAGCTCTTAACGACGTGTTCATGCAGGTTTGTGTAAAGGAAGATTCTTTTAAAAGCAAGCTGGTGTGAACGATGTTATTTTTGAAAACGTAGATCCGTTTTTGTGAATACCGGCTACGTGTAAACGTGGCTTAAAACTTGATGAAGGCAGAGACGGGTCTGATTAATGAGACTAACCGATAACGAACGCAATCCAGGTGTTGATAAGACGTCGGAGCTGAAGTTTAGCTCGTTGCCTCCAGCTGTTCAGGACTCTTTCCTCTGAGTTTATTCAACAGCGTCAGACAGCAGCTGGATCCACACCAGCGTCTCCAAAGCAAGAACGCTGCATGTGGAACAAGAACAACGCGGCTAATTTGATAATTAGTTGAAAATGTAAATGATCCCAGACACACAGACGGGATCAGGATACGATTCACTTTTCTTCACCTCAGACAGGTGAGCTGTCACAAAGAGTCACGGTTCAGGTCGTTGCTTCCAGCTGTTCAGGACTCTTTCCTCTGAGTTTGTTCAACACCTGCAGCGTCAGACGGAGGCCGAGTTTATTAACTTCATTACTGATTTATAATCAGAAGTGATCCCTGTCATGGAGACAGGATGGATCTGGGTCCCAGTTTGTTCAGATGCCGTCAGATGAACTGCTGCTCAGTTTCCTGTTTAGCACATTCAGCCACGTTCACGTCGTATTTAGCTGAATTCTTTTTAGCCTAAAACCTGTCCAGCGTTTTAATGGAAATGTAACCACAGAGAATCTGACAAACAAAGAACAGGAAGATAATGATGTTGTAAAACGGAGCGGGAAGAAGCCGCAGAACACAAGAGAAGAGGGATTACGTCGGAAACCGGGTCCGGATTTATCAAAGTGTTCCCACGACGACTCACTGCCTTTGTTTCACGATATGCAAATCTGGTTCTGTGGGTGACGGGGTGTCACCGCGGACTCTTACCACCCACTGCACTCGTTTAACGGCTCCTTCACTCGCTCTTCTCCTGCTCTTTGTGTCCCCCGATGCATCTCCAACTTTCTGTTTGCACTCGTCGAGTCTTTTCAGGAACTTGGATGTGCCTCTCGTTGAACCTCTAATACCTCCTTTCTCCCTCCGTCTTTGTCTCTCACGTTGCTCTTTCTATTTTTACTCACATCTTACAGTAGCTCTGTTACAGTACCTGTATTTTTCCCTCTTTTTCCCCCTCTCTCTCGCTCTCTCAGATATTCTGGGGTCTATCTCTGCTGCTGAATAGGCAGATTAGTGCAGGAAAAAAGGCGGCTGTGAATACCGCTGTGCCTCTGTCTCTATTGACCCACTATCTAAGCTCTGGAGTGAAGAAAATGTAGCCCACAGTCTCTCTCTCTCTCTTTTTTTCTCTATCCATCCTCAACAACTCTGCTGCGCTGAACTGAGAATATGAGCATCCCGGTAAATCCATTAATACCACTGACTGAGTCCCATTTTATTCCAAATAAAAAAAAATGAAGCAGCTGCAGGAGGCAGAGCACGACGCTGACATAATAAAGTGGATTGAGCTGTGGAGATGGAAGAGGGGCGCTGGTGGATCCGAGCCAAGTATCAGATCTCTTCCCCGTTTTTCCCTCTTCTCTGTTTTTTTTCCACCCGTCCTGTCAGTGTTTGTCCGCCGCTCTGTCCATCACGTCAGGCCACGGCCACTTCAAATCAGTCAAACCGTCGCCCTGTGGTCAAGCCGTCCCCGTCCTCCGAGAGTCGCCATGTGCT